GCAGTCACACCACACGCAAAATAGACATAAGACATTCGAGAAATGCACCACTGGTGTGCATTTTAAAAATGCCAACTCAAGATGTGTTGATCATAAAAGTTCTACTTCTGAAAATTCAACACCTTGATGGCATCCTTTTACTAAAAATTAACCAACAAATCAGGATTTAATCGGTGGGAAAAATTGGTGGGGGGGATTATTATTATTTTTTTTAAAAAGGGCTTCATGCATTTAAGAAGTAATGGAGGAATATTCAGTGGCTTAGCTAGGGGAGGTGCGAGGGGGGACGGGGTGCGGGGATTTAGATCACTCTTGGTGACAACAACCTTAGCTACGCCACTGATAAGACTAGTTATTTTTTTTTTGGTAAGCTTCTGATTATTAAGTCACTCTAATTTACTGAGTAACCAAATGTGTTCCTTTTTAGTTATCCCACAATTTATCTCAGTTTAATGGGAACTAAATGCCCCCTTGATCTGGACAAGAAAGACATTTCAGCAGCCTACTTGTAAAAACCATTTCTCTAATAAAATAGGTCACTGAGTCGATCTCCTAGCGTGGGGGGGGGGGGGTGGGGGGGGGGGGGCAGAGGGGCAGCCTTTCAGAGGCACCACGACGATGACTTATATACTGGATAATAAATGAAGGACTGCGTTCAAGCTGTGTAAATGAAATAGTAGAGCAAGGTTTGTGGAAGCTTCGATAAAAAAAAAAACAGAAGAAAAGATAAGTGCCTTCCTCAGCCAACAGGACAAATGAAAAAATCAAAAGAAATAGGAACCAGTTGCTATTGCCGGAAGTTGTTTTTTTTCCATATCCAAGATTACATTTATACTAACGATGGGTTATATACTAATTGACACGTTTGCTAAATAAAAGAGATGTTTGCTTTTTAATCAATCTACGCTTAATAGTAGAACAGAAGATATGCTATTGGAAATTTGGGTTTCCTTAAAACTGAGTTTGATTATAATAAATAAATAGTAATGTTATTTTATAGTTTTATTTTCAATTATTTTATTTTAAACGGCGTCGTCACTATATGATTTTTTGAATGATTTTTATTCATTCGGTCCAGTAAAGATATCCTTGTCATTTTGCCACGTTGGCTTGGCAAAGACCCAGCCACATTCAATCACGCATATGCCGGTAAATGGATTCCGCAACGTAATCTTCCAGAACCAGAACCAGCGAGCTGCTGTTGTTGTCGGAGCTCTGGCGGGTGTCGACGTTGTGATGTTGGGAAAAAATTAACATTGGATCCACGGTACACAAAAGCAATAGGCGGAACGGATCCAGCAACAACAACAAAAAAACAGCCAGGTACACACAAAGAAAAATATTCAAAGTCATATAATTGGGTCAAGGTATAATCATGTACAAATATGAAACAGTAAGACCTATTCATTTCGAAATCGTGCTGTTTAACAAAAGATTGTCTCGTACTCAACGGATATGTGCAATTTGCAATTTTGTTTAATGGGGTGGAGGGGGGCAGTGGTAAATTTGCATTTTTGTGTTTTAGAGGAGATTTGGACCCCTCTTACGTCAATTAAAAGAAAAGGGTTCGGTTGAAGAGGTTTGACAATTCTTGATAGGAGGAAAGGGGTAAAATTAATTGACGACAGACATTCAGTTTTTTAAGCAATAAAATTTTATATCTTAATCATTTATAAGCAATTTTTTACTTTAAAAATATAATGTTGAATAGGCAAAAATATTCTTATAATTGTAAAAATTTTAATCCATGTTTTTTTATAACACTGACATGCTCACTTACAATTTAGTGCCTCAAATGTCTGTACATATGATTACAAAAATGTGTCCCCCGTTTCCCCCTAGTCAGCAAATGCTTTGGACGGCTTTTTTTTTAAACTTCTCCCCCCTTCTCGCCAAACCTATTGAGCTGGGACTTGGCACATAGACTCAATGCCGATTACCCTTTATTTCAAATGTTCAGCCCCACCCTCCAAAACCACTAAAACCAGTTTTTCCTGTTTTTCAAGGTCAAGGAAATATGATGCCACTGATTTCACGAAATAAAATTCCCAATAACTGAACTAAATGAGATTTTTTTTTTTTTAAATAATAATGTCGCGTTTGGTGCTTAAAATTTTCTTCACTTTTTCTGAATTTGTGGGTGAAATAAATCTGCAAAAAAATATTTCTCCCGTAGGCCCCTATTTTTCTGTCACATATTCTTCTTTGACCCTTTTATCCTAAACGGTTTAAAAATCAAGAATATAAAATAGTTATGCGATCACTTTTGAAACATACAAAATGAAAAAAAAAAAAAAAACAATTGTCAAGTAGCTGTTTATTGGTTATTTATATTTTCAAAGGTCAAAAAAATATTTCTCCCGTAGGCCCCTATTTTTCTGTCACATATTCTTCTTTGACCCTTTTATCCTAAACGGTTTAAAAAACAAGAATATAAAATAGTTATGCGATCACTTTTGAAACATACAAAATGAAAAAAAAAAAAAAAACAATTGTCAAGTAGCTGTTTATTGGTTATTTATATTTTCAAAGGCTAAAGAGGTGGCTCTGTTTTCTTCTTTCGCCTGGTCGATTTCAAAAAGACCGCAATAGGAGCAAACTAAGTATTTTCCCCCTTTTTGTCAAAGTAATTCCGAATTTTAAGCAGGTTCTATTCCATTAGTTAACAGATTGGCAGTAAAGAATATGAAGATTTCGCAGCTTCTCTTGATATTGAAGATTTTCACCTAAATAATAGCCTACTGAGTTTTTTTTTCCATTTTCAGGTATAAGTTTCCTACTTGATAGAAGTAGTTTAACAAAATAGATGCGTTGCTGTTTTCAATAGGTCAGGGTGAGTTACTATGGAGTAAAACTTTTAAGGTAATCATGATTTACCATATAAATATTTTGGTCATAATTAGATAATAAAAACAGAGAGAAGTAGATTAGTCCTTCGAACTTAATCATTTTATGAAAATGTGCATTTTATATGGTAAATAGACAAAGGTTACTAATACCACACAAAATGTGAGTCTTTTAAATACGTGGTAATAAGTGGAAGAGACTGCAAGCAGCTTAGGTAAACATGAAATGAACGAAACAAATTCCGGGAAAACTACATTTCTCTTGTCGTACTCTCTGATACTACATTGCAGCTAAGTATTTTTTTTTTCAAAATGTTATATTGCTTTTACTGTTGTTTGTTCGCTGAAGAGAGGTTCATGTCGACACGTTGGTTGTTTTGTTGAGTCGTTTTTGTTCCTGTTATCCTATGTTTTGTTTCGTTCATTTCATTGACGTCCAGACGTTTCAAAAATTGCATTATATCAGAACAGTTTTTTTTTTTGTTTTGCCTGTGTAATTACACATGAATTAAATTATTGTAAATCTGTCCGTGTACTGCATGCGAAAGTCTGGTCCGAATGTTAGCCATCGTTGTTAGTGCATTCAATGTGCGCTCTAGTCCAAATGTGAGGCCATCGTTGTTAGTGCATTCAATGTGCGCTCTAGTCCGAATGTGAGGCCATCGTTGTTAGTGCATTCAATGTGCGCTCTAGTCCGAATGTGAGGCCATCGTTGTTAGTGCATTCAATGTGCGCTCTAGTCCAAATGTGAGGCCATCGTTGTTAGTGCATTCAATGTGCGCTCTAGTCCGAATGTGAAGCCATCGTTGTTAGTGCATTCAATGTGCGCTCTAGTCCGAATTTGAGGCCATCGTTGTTAGTGCATTCAATGTGCGCTCTAGTCCAAATGTGAGGACATCGTTGTTAGTGCATTCAATGTGCGCTCTTGTCCAAATGTGAGGCCATCGTTGTTAGTGCATTCAATGTGCGCTCTAGTCCAAATGTGAGGCCATCGTTTAAGTGCATTCAATGTGCGCTCTAGTCCGAATGTGAGGCCATCGTTGTTAGTGCATTCAATGTGCGCTCTAGTCCAAATGTGAGGCCATCGTTGTTAGTGCTTTCAATGTGCGCTCTAGTCCGAATGTGAGGCCATCATTGTTAGTGCATTCAATGTGGTTTCTATCTACTTTCAGAGATTCCATTTATTGTTTCTAATGAATACGGTTGAAGCGATCAAGTCACGGGTATTGATCAAGAACAAGTGTCAGGTAACATTAACAGCTGAAATAAATTATGATTAATACGGTGATAAAACTATAGGCTGAGAATTCGGTTCAGGCAAAGGGGGTCTAAAAAATTAAATGGAAGTTTTAAAATAATTTATTTTGTTGTTTTAGGTTAGCAGACACCTACGGGAATGAGCCGTAATGCTAGATTGATTTATACTATGAGAAAAACCCAAAATTTGATAGACGATAAAGGTTGGTAGAAAAAATAAATAGTTAATTACCAAAGCGACTGATTTAGTTGTGTGATTGTGTCTGGATGCACGGGATTTTAACCTTGTAGAGGTGGCAGTACTACATCATTTCAGTATAAGCAGTCGTTTCAATTCATTTTGGCTCTTCGGTGAAGGGAGGGGGGTGAGGTGGGTGCAAAATGTTAACATAACTTTTAAAAGCGGACCTTGAAAGTTTAATGGTGGCCTTCAAGTTGAGAAAGGGAGCGGGGGATGGGTGGGGTCAGAAATAGAGTTTAAACTTATGACTACTTAATAGACACCTTCTTAACACCCTTCGTGTTGCGACACATTTCAAGCGTGTCAACCTGGTTAATTTCCTTGTCGTCTCAAATGATTGGCAGAGTAATGCGAAGTAACCTCGCGATTGGGTGAGGTTTTGATTAAAGCCCCCCCTCCCCCCCCCCCCCCCACCCACCCTCAACCTGGTTAATTTCCTTGTCGTCTCAAATGATTGGCAGAGTAATGCGAAGTAACCTCGCGATTGGGTGAGGTTTTGATTAAAGCCCCCCCTACCCCCCCAACCCCCCCCCCCGTCTTTGCCACTTTAATGAATTTTGAAAACAAAGCGTGGGAGGAGCTACGGTTGTTAAGGACTCCTCTCTTTTTGTGTTAGTAACCGTACCCAATAAAAACTGCTTGAGTTTTTCGTAATTCACACATCAGCGAGACAACGTTACCAGAGGAGGTAAGTTTAGAGTTCTTAGGGTAGGTTAAGGGATTGAATCTGCCTAGGCATCGGGGAGATTGCGAATGAGACGCTGGTGAATTTTATAAATATACTTTTTAAATCAGTGTGCGATTAGGTTCGTGTGTTGTATACTTGATACGTTAGTGAACGCATTTGGTTTTGAGATTTATTGTTTTAGATGTTGCTGTATGGTTTGTATTAGTGACAGTTTAAAGTAAGATATGTTGCGATATTCGTTGTTAGGATCGAGTCAATGAGTACGCTATGATGTACAGCGAAAGGAAGACGGCGCGCTGAGTTGTTTTGAATAAATAACCATATAATATATGAAATATTTATGATCTTGGTGCTTTCACTAATTACCCCTTGATGAAGCGGAGCTGTGAACTGTTTATGAAAGTAGAACCCCTAAGTCCTGCTTATGGTTTGGCAAACAGTGTTGGACCAACCTAAAGAAAAAAAGTAACGCTAGAAGGTCAATGCGCCTCTTAGGGTCCACGCGCACCTTAGGGTCAACGCGCCTCTTAGGGTCCACGCGCACCTTAGGGTCAACGCGCCTCTTAGGGTCCACGCGCACCTTAGGGTCAACGCGCCTCTTAGGGTCCACGCGCCTCTTAGGGTCCACGCGCCTCTTAGGGTCCACGCGCCTCTTAGGGTCCACGCGCCCCTTAGGGTCCACGCGCACCTTAGGGTCCACGCGCGCCTTAGGGTCCACGCGCCTCTTAGGGTCCACGCGCCTCTTAGGGTCCACGCGCCTCTTAGGGTCCACGCGCACCTTAGGGTCCACGCGCCTCTTAGGGTCCACAGGGCATTTAGGGGCCCCGGGACAAGGGGTAAAATGTGTGGGGCATGGGGACTAAGTGATTTTCATGCATAATATATTATATAAATATTGGCCAAAGAAAATAGTAAGCAACTATAATCGGTTTTTTTTCTCTGACGATAATCACCAAAGAGAAGATTTTGAGAGATGATCGTGTTTTGTTGACGTCTTGGATGAATATATTACTATTACCATTTTGGCTGATTGGGTCAGTGAATAAGCGACAAAACTGGCAAACAAATAAACTTTTATGTTCCTCAGTTGTGATGTGTAGAAGGGTGATTCAAATTTAAGTTAGTGAGGTTTGCGGGAGGGGAGTGCAGTGGTTGAAAAAAAAAATGACTTAATGTTGCCCGGGCTGAATTCCCAAATTTGCCCCTAAATGCATGCTTCGATTTACATGATGTTAGACCTAAGGAACCAAAAAATGTTCCTCCAACCACCCACCCGCCCCACTGTCGTCTCCCCTTCGTACTCAGTCGGTACGTCAGTGGCGATGCCTAGAGTTTTTTTATCCGTGTCTCAAAACACTGACGTCACATGTTTTTAAAACCTTCGATTCATGTTTCGGGATTGACATTCATTAAATATGTTCAACAAAAAATATGCATCTACCTTAGCAAAATAAACTCCAGAAGCATTTCAAATCCAGATCAGTATTTAAACATTGTTTTCTTTTTGAGTAATCATAACTCTGTGCGGAAGTTGAAAAATTCTATTTAGATTAAGCGCATAAACGATTTGTTGTTATATAATTTTTCCTAATTACTGTAACTTCTTAAGCCATGGCTTAAAACATTTTTAAGCAAATGGGTTAAGAGGGGGGGGGCAGTTTAATGGTGATCAAACACTTTTTGAAACCATACTATGGTTTGAAAAACGCACCTGAGTTGTTTTTTTTTAAGGATTTTAGTCAACGCATTGATGGACAAATTTCCTTCATGTTCCTTTTGGAAAACAGAGGTTTGGGGGGTGGGGGCTGAAAATTTGATAAAACGGTTTGTCATCGGAAACTACACTATATGACAAGTTTCAGCTCAATAGCTTCACGAAAAGTTGGTGAGCTAGAAGTCCGAATATTTTTCAGCCCATCCAATCACGCACGAAGTTTATATAAAAAGATAATTTTATATATAGGATTTAAAGACGGCAACATTTGAAAGACCCGACCATACGGTGTCACCTTGGCTAGTTTAGGAGCACCATCGGTTTCCACTATGGCTTGTTTAGACCAGTCCAGGAATACCATTGGTTGTCACAATTGCAAATTTTGTCCAGTCCAGTAGCACCATCGATTGCCACACTGATAAGATTTAAACCAGTTTTAAGGGCACAGTAAGCTGAAACAGGGACAAAATTAAACCAGTTTTGGGGCACTGTCAAGTTTAACCCAGTTTAGGGGCACTGTCAGCTGAAACACGGACAAGTTTAAACCAGTTTAGGGGCACTGTCAAGTTTAAACCAGTTTAGGGGCACTGTCAGCTGAAACATAGACAAGTTTAAACCATTTTAGGGGCACTGTCAGCTGAAACACGGACAAGTTTAGACCAGTTTAGGGGCACAGTAAGCTGAAACACGGACAATTTTAAACCAGTTTAGGGGCACTGTAAGCTGAAACACTGGCAAGTTTAAACCAGTTTAGGGGAACTGTCAGCTGAAACACGGACAAGTTTAAACCAGTTTATGGGCACAGTAAGCTGAAACACGGACAAGTTTAAATCAGTTTAGGGGCACAGTAAGCTGAAACACAGACAAGTTTATACCAGTTTAGGGGCACAGTAAGCTGAAACACGGACAAGTTTAAACCAGTTTAGGTGCACAGTAAGCTGAAACACGGACAAGTTTAAACCAGTTTAGGGGCACTGTCAGCTGAAACACGGACAAGTTTAAACCAGTTTAGGGGCACTGTCAGCTGAAACACGGACAAGTTTAAACCAGTTTAGGGGCACTGTCAGCTGAAACACGAACAAGTTTAAACCAGTTTAGGGGCACCGTCATCTGAATCACTGACAAGTTCAAAGCAGTCCAGCTGGTATCCATTCAGAGTTTGGTCAAGTGTTTTAGCCATTTCATTTCCAATTGTTATTCCTTTGAAGTTTTCAGTAAAGCATGCTCCTGTGTCACTTCAAAATAATCAATCGTCTCACAAATGAAAGGTAGACATTTTGTGGAATCGCGAATAGCATTGCTTTTGTAGAGTGCCAAGTTACACGAATGGTTTTTTTTCTAATGTAGGCTTTTGACGAATCCTCTATATTTATATTGTGCATAATCATTATTAAAACTTAACATTTATTGTTTCAATCTACACAAGTAGTTTGTGTCTAATTAATCTACTTTAAATATTTATCACATTCCAACAATCTTATAATTAATCAATGAAAAGAAGCAACGCTTGTTTAGAGTATGTTTTCATAAAGTTGATGAAAAAATCCGACAATTTCTTTTATAAGTCGTGGTATTTTAAAGCCTGACAGTCTCACTGTAGTAAATCAATAAACATTCCAAGGACATAACTATTATTTGCCGAAGGAAAGACGACATTCTTAGCAATTCTCCCTCTACTAAAGATCCATGAATGGTCTACAGTGTACAATTCACTAAAGTATTTTGCTGTGTGTATGTGTACTCGCTAGTCGTCGCATAACTAAAGACCTCAGCAATGTTATGGGCGTTTTTACAGCTGCTCGTTCATAACGTTACAATCCGGGTATTCCTACTGCAGGAATGAGGGCTATATCTAGGGTTGGTCTCCAGTTTAAGAACCACTTTATTGAAGGTTCTATAAAAAAAAATTAGATGTGATAGAAAAAGATTTTGCAGTCTCTCTTCATATTTAACAAAAGTGGAAAATAAAGTGACTGATATGACAGTAAGAGGTTATTGTTGTCTGGACCCAAAAATATGGGCTTCCTAGACACACGCCTCCAAAGATCTCGATCTGGAACTATTGGCAAAGGGCTCTTCTTCTTCTTCTATATATTAAGGGCCCACGATCAATTTATTTCTCATTTTGGCTCCTATGCATGTAGAGCGGATTTGCTATGTTTCTGTGCCTGGTGTTGTTGAGGACATTTCAATGATCTCCAGTGTCACTTTGTGAGGGAATCATGTGCTGGGGGTTTAAATGCTTGAGGCAATAGACACAAATGTGTCTAGTGTTGTCACCTCAACTGTTCTTTTTGAAAGCTTGTTCGAGTCCCTGATTGTCTTGGGCAGGAATGAGCAGTTCCTATACTGGCTTCTTGCTGGTATGAGCCGGAATTGCCTGTCATTGCCTCGTCACTGTTTATGGTTGAGAGGGACAAGTTTCTGTTTAATACTGGCACAGTGGACCAGCCCATTATGTATCTTGTACTTAATGGAGAGCCTGGATTGTCGTCGTCGTTCCTCCAATGGTGACCAGGCTATTATTGTACCTATTCCCTTTAACACTTTATTACTGTTTTTATTAACATCTTGGTTCGCGGACTGCAATATCTCCTGGTCTACTTAGACAGGTTGTCTTTTAATTTTTAACCTAAACTCATGCCTACCTACAACACTTATACTAAAGAGGACAAGACTAAGAATGTACGCTTCTAAACTCGATTATATTGTGTTTAAAGAAGATGACTGATATAATGGTCTTTGATCGCCTATATTGGTATCAAAAGCATAACAAGAGCATTAATGCGATCGTGTCCAGCTTCCGAGACTGTGCAATAACAATTCAAATTTATTCGCCGTAAATTACGCTCCATAACTGATTGTCTCAGAGAAAAGTCTCATGCACTGAAGTAACTCTTGGATCTCTTAATCTTAATATGCGACTTAAGGAAATGGTTTCGTTGGGCCGTCGAGCGCGAGCTCTCAATGCTATCCCCCCGGTACACCTCTACACGGGCCAGACACCGGGAACCTCCCCCCAGTCGACTTTCCCAAAGGGTCTTGGCGGATTTGCTTCAACTCCGGGGGAAAAGGTGTGGCCTTACCTCCCCCTCCCCCCCCACCACCCAGGGAGTCTTTCAGTCGGGACGGAAAGCTGGGACGAAACGGTGGCCTAGGTGCGGCTTTCTAACGGCCACCTAGCTGAAATCATCGGCATGGGTTTTAACCGCCACCCAAACCTCATATCCATCAACGGCAACAGTTAATCAGTACCAACCGATTGACCATCGATGATACGGTCAAGGGTCCTTTATTTCTTGGGTCGTGGGGGTGGTCCTGATTCAAAATGAATTCATTATTGGCATGATTGTTGTATTTAAGATATATTTTTTTTACTAATAAGACATTACATAAAATAACATTGCCTCAAGAGTTCTACATTTAAGTATTTCGGCATATATCGATAGTTTACAGAAAATAACATCACCCTAAAGAATCTCATTTCAAGTAAACCGGTTCCACTCGAGATTTTATGAGAAAAAAAGTGTTGTTGATAAATATTTCTACATTTTGCAACAAAAGTTTGTACACGCTTTAAGCTTATTTTTAATGTATTAATTTAGTTTTATTTATTTGTTTATTACATTGACGATATGTTATTTTAGAGCATTTTCATTCCCATTTTTTACTTGTTTTCTTCTATAAATTTAAAATTCAGACAAAGAACGGAAAATTATATCAAAAAAGATCCCAAGTAATCCAGGATGACAAAAATCTCTTTCACCCTCCTGACAGTATGCCTGTTCGTGGGTAAGTTTTTTTTTGCCTCGTTATAGAGATGAGTCATCATTTTATTTGATTTACCCTAAAAAATCTCCTACATTCTACCACATTTCCAATTTTCTACCACATTTCCTATGTTCTACCACATTTCCTGTGTTCTACCACATTTCCTATGCTCTACCCCATTTCCTATGATTTACCTCATCACTTATGTTCTAACACATCAAATGTGCTCTACCACATTACCTGTGTCCTACCACATCACATTTGTCCTACCACATCACCTATGTCCTACCACATCACCTGTGCTCTACCACATCACCTGTGTCCTACCACATCACATGTGTCCTACCACATCACATGTGTCCTACCACATCACCTGTGTCCTACCACATCAGCTGTGTTCTACCACATCACATGTGTCCTACCACATCACCTGTGTCCTACCACATCACCTGTGTCCTACCACATCACCACTGTTCAACACCACAACCTTAAGACATGTTTATCTCTACCCTTTCGCGTAGTAAATACGCTTTGAGCCTGAGACTACGGCAATAATAATTGGGATTTTTACAGTAAAAATTTACCGCATTTTTTGTGGTAACACCGTGCGCAATAGAATAAGAAGACAGTGTTGGTGTTTTGCAATCTCTATCTTAATGAGTCAATTAAAATGTATTTCCTTTAGATGTTGCAAGTCACCTTACTTTAACCTCAATATTGCTTATCGATTGGTTCTGCCCTTATGTTATGGTGGATTCCCTTTGATTGCGCACGTTTACCAAGTTTCAGATGTTTTTTTGTTTAAAAAAAAAATAACTAACTTTTGTAGCATAATACCGTGATACCCTTGGAGGTGTCTTTCAGTCTTTCTGTTCAGTTCACCTATCAACAAATTAAGTGGTAGCTAAAGTGTTCAATTATTTCATTAAAATCATTCATTATTTAAATGCAATTGTCCTAGCTTTTAATGGACTGGATAGCCATTTAAATATAAGAAAATATGCATGTGTCAACTATGTGTACTATGACCAAAAATAAAACGGTCTGTCTTTTGTCTACTAAGTATTAGACTAACTTTTCGCTAAGCTCAACATACTTTTTTCGGCTTTACGTAATGAAAATAAAACATGCTAGCTCTAACAATAGTCAAGATAGAAATGGAAGCTTACGGCAGGATTCGTTGTTCTACCCTATGCTACTCATTTGATAAAAGTAGAGGCAAGCAGAAGAATTTACGATATGATACACGAGCGCAGCACTGTTAAACTAGCAATGGAAGATTTTTTTTTTTTAAATTTAAAATATAACATCTAGCCTTAAAAGATAAATTTAAGGACTTTTTTCGTAGTTCTCTCATAAAACTGCAAAATTAACATTAAATGCAACCATTTCAATTTTTTTTTTAATGCTGTTCTTGACAATTCTTCCCACTTCGTTGGCTCAGTCCTGCGTCTCTGCATATATCTGTTTTGTATCTCAACCATATTAATACTGGAAAGAATAGTATAATGATATATATGATATATGACCCCGTTTGAGGCTTAGAGGATGATAAATTAATTAATTGTTTGTTTTATGTAGTCAGGGTCTAGGGTTAATAAAATAGTGCCTAACAACAAACATTTTTACAGACAGCGAATGGTTAGGAGATCAACAAAGGTTGATCAAGTCATCACAGCTACACTCAACAACATTTATTGATATCAAGCAAATCTGCAGGACAGTCCTCATGTGCCATCTGGAGGCCACAATGTTAAGGAAAAATCAATTAACTTTTTTGCGTACTTCTGGCGTCCATTTCTGGATCTTCTCAATCAAGCTCTCTATTCATGTGTCCAAATATGACAACCTAATTACAGATATTTCATAGACAAAAAGTAGGTGTTCACTCAAACATTAACTTTCCTCGCAAGAAAAAGACATAGACTCCATATTAGTTAGAAAAAAAAATCTATTTGTGGGAGCTAAATACATGTTCTAGAAGTCAACACAGACTAGATAAAATGCTAAACTTTTACATGACTTTGAAAATCAAGGCAAAAAATCGTGCAATCCTTTTAAGTAACCTGATAAATGATATGCGCTATTACTAGGAAAATTAATAAATATACACTTGTATGTATCGTTTTGAACTTTCCTAAGACCTTTGATCCTTATTAAAAAAATCGGAAGATTATATCATGTACATTTATTTGTCTTAACTTGCAGTTAACTTGATGTCCCTACACAATTTTTTTTTTATTTTGATTGCAAACCAAACTACTCTTTGGAGATTGAAAACATGCCTATTGAGAGCTAAAAGCTACTCTAAAAATAACCCTGGGGTATCCAGGTCTCCATCTGTGTACCACCAAATCTGCCGTGTTCTACCGGATCACTTGTACTCTACCATGTCACACACTTCCAAACAGCATCCGATTTCTTAGGCTACATCCGATTTCTTAGGCTACATCATGTTTCAAACTATATCATATACTTGTACTCAATTAAAATATGCGCAAAATACCATGCTGGAAGTGGATCCTACGGACAAGTGTATATTTTAAAGCTCATAACAAATTCTCTTGTTTCATAAATTATTAAATCATTTTATTAGTTGATTTTGATACATAATAAAGCAGAACAATGTTTTTATTTATACAGCAACTATCGACATTGCCTGGGCTGTGTGTCCTACATGCAATGCGCCTGGCACTTATACGTGCAGGTAAGTGCACTGACTCTTTCTTTTTAAAGTTTTTTTTTTATCCAACATGTGTTCAGCACATAAGTTTCTTTAGGAATATGCAGAAAATAGTAAGAGTTAATGTTTAAAGTATGTGTTTGCTATGGTTTAAAATGTCTGTTTAACGAAGATGGGTAGTTATTGATCTAATGTTTGTGCTTGCGGTTCAGCACCAAGAGACCCTGGCCTCTACAGGGCTGCTGGTTGACTGGTAACTAGGCGCGAATGTGCGCCCGGTGAAGCTAAAAGGATTCTCAGGCAATTCGTCTGACTCACAAGACAAAGGTGAGAGCTGATTTGGCTTCTCTCCCCGTGAGCGCGTAAAGTAAATAGAATCAGATCATTATTCTACAAGTGGCAAGATAATGATCGTCTGGGAGAGGGACTTTGGAACCCCATCCTAATTTGAGGATCGGTGACGGGGCTAATTTCGAATGAATGCGTTGGTGTTACTTGGGGGCACTAGGCAAGTTCCCGCCGGTCACATACCCAAGAAACTAATAGTTATATAGCTTAACTGTTGTTGGGTCGCAGAGAAAATAGCTAAACTCACTAAGTTGATATATGACGGGGTTGTGGACGTTGAACTACGAGAAGAGACCCAACTGAAGAAGCAACCTGTGGCAAACGGGCTTCTCAGTCTACCACTGTACACGTTTACTGTGTAGAAGGCAGAAAACTATAGTAAAAAACAAACTCACAGCAAACAATCTTGGTGGAACAGACTCTCTGACCCTGGAAGCTATCCATAAGTCACTGGGAAATGTACACCATAATCTACAGAGTTTGAAGCTTGTGAGACTTGGTGTTTTTGAATTCTACTATTGAAGATCGCAGTTCTTCCAATTTTGAATTAAAGGAGCACGTAACACGCATTTATTTGGTGCCATCTTAGATGACGAGAACAAGATTGAAACAAATGGAGGAAAGGTAACAGTGCAATCGTTATCAAGTCAACTAGACGTGAAGTGCAACGATACCGTAAACAGTCTGGCAAAAACGTTGGAAGCCCAGTCCCAAATCAGAATCACCAGTCGCTGTTGTCGGTGTCAAAGCTAGCTAGTAGACCTCTTCAGGATAGAGTGGTACGGAAAAATCGGCAGACAGGACGATGTACAGAGGTGTATTCGCTGACCTGCCGATACCTACTGGTCAAAATCCCTAGTGGTAATAAAACAGCACCTACCGGGCTTCCAAATGTGACGCTTCATAGTTGGAAGCAAAGACAGAGACAGGGTATGGATCATGAATACAAGGTGCCGTTAATAGATATAAGACTAGAGGCGAAGGTGGAAACCGCTAGCCGTTGATTCTAACTACACAGCCCCGAAAAAGCTGCTCCTTGGTGACCGGTTCGTTCAAGCTTCTTAGCGAATTAGTTGCGTTTTGGAAACCCACTGTAGGAAACCCTCTGAAAGGGCGTCCAACGCTTTCTTGGGATGGGTGGGGGAAGATATTAGGACGTATATTTACTATCCTGACTCCCTGGAGAGTTGGCTGCGCACGCTTTAAACGCAGCGTTTTCGGTCGACCGGATATTTTCGGGCGGGGAAAGCTTCCATTCGCGAGTGTACTCGAGGCACTGCGGGTGAGGGGAGGTTGCCGGCATACTACCGTACGGTCTGGTGGCGGGAAAAACTGGCGTCTGGCCCTTGAGGAGGTGTGTCGGGAGGGGCATTAAAACGGCCCTTTGACGTCATTTCCCAATCAGAAAGTTTTGTGGAAATTTGATTCCGACACAAAAGTCAGCACCTAGATATGTCCTACTATCTGATACATTAACAGGCTTGACAGCAAACGGGATTCGACCTGTCGGCTTTGCCTGCTGGCCCCGGAAACCCTAGATTATCTTTTCACTGAGAGTCCTGCATTGTATGTTGCTGGGGAAACCGACGTTACATGTCTAAGGCCAGCGGATGAAGCTGTTTTCCAATAAACTAGCAGGGGCTTTAACTCGTAATCTCAAATCCCAACCACTATACGTATGTTAGTTAGTGGAGTCAAAACTGTAAAAGCAGATGTCTATTGATGATTAACATAGATGAGATTCAGGGCTTGATTAAAATGTTTTATATGGCATGAAATTTTTTTTTTAAATTATAGGAATAGACAAAGCCACTAAAAATGCTCAGTCAAGCTGGCAAGGTAGAGGAGATGTTTCATTCAGAAACAGATGCTCATTCGTTTTGTTAAATTCTTTTTCCAGCTTGTATTCTACTTACATGACGTGTCTGGATACGATTGCCTCTGACGCCACGTGCATTGCTGAGGAAAAAACTAACGCTGCAGCAATCGCTTCAACAACAAGGACAGCAATGGCTCTTTTAGGCTGCTCAGGTATTCAATGTAAACTTCATGCTAATCTTGGGCAGAAAATATATTTATCAGTATAAATTAAAATTTTAGAGTGTATTTTGGTGCATACTTTATTTTTTGATTTTCATCACTATACAAATAATCTGAGAGCAACTAAAGACATGTAAGCAGAATTTTAGCTGTCCCTTGTCTGGGTTGTGCTTATGATCTGCCGTAGGAAATCGACTCCTTAACATGTAAGATCAAATTCTTGTGAGTTACCCCTTTGCTTTCATTGGGTAGCCGGATGTTTCGCCGCTAGGGTGAAAAATCGAGGAAACTCATCTCCGAAAAGGGAGTGAAAGTCCTCAAGATGAAGGTCTCAAGGGTCCATAAGAGCTCCGGCTCAGGTCATGGATGTAATCCCATGTGTAACATTTTAAGTCAGGAGAGGCGAAATTAAAGCAATCGATGTAATAAAAGACTGGGAACATACTGTTATTGTTCCATGAATTATCGTGACAGAGTATCTAACACAGAGATTTTCGAACATGCCAAGATATTAAGTACATTATCTACTCTTTATAAGACGTGCCTCTTATTGCTAGACCATGTAGGGAGAATGTGGGAAAGCCATATTCCAAAGAATCTGATGTATTGAGAATTGTCAGAGTGGGCAAGACTTATTGGGCGAATACGGCTCCGATTTAAGGAGATTACAAAGGATCACGAGGGAAGCAAACATAGATATCAAAGAACGGAATATCATCGCTGAGCTCCGTTTTAGGTTATGAAGAGCTATGTATAAGGAGTCGAAGAGTCAGAATAAGCAAGAAACTAAGTCATCACAACAAAAATGGCATTTCGAAACACCAAAGTAAAGCAAGGGTCAATTTCTCTCATCAGAAGTGCAGCCAAGAATGTCATTACAGGATCGGCTACGAGAGCCATTTGATCAAGCGTCAATAGCTAATCCATTGTCTCTTGAAGGCTTAATGATTTCATATATATATATATATATATATATATATATATATATATATATATGTATATAAATTGTTACGCACTAACTTGTATTGGGAGAAATTAATTTCCTATTTTAATTTTAATTGGCTCGTTGTTAACAGTGCCTAACAAAGGACGATACCATTGAATCAACAATATTAAAGATACGACAAAAACAGTTTCTAGTTAAAATAAATAAGATTTATTAATGTCTTAAGATAATTACAAAAGAAAATAAAATATAATTACAATCTTCAACTTACAGTATGGTAGATCTTGTACCGGTACACAGTTAACACAATTAGAAATAATGATGCCAATAAATAATGCGAAATAAACACATATGAGCACACAAATACAAAAAGAATAAACACGCCTCGTAATGTTAAGAAAATCTATCTGAAAAATCTCCGACCTCTCGTCCGTGCCTGTCAATCCCTTATATAGGTGGGTCTACCGACGCCCAAGCCCTGCCTTCGAGCAGCTACATGACATTTATAGAACAATAAGATTCATTCTACAAAATACTATTTGGAACAGATTAATTATTTTTAGTGGTTGGCAGCATAAACACAAAATATATCAAAAGACTACGCCATACCCCTTGTGAACACAGCGTCTCATGCGGGGTCAATCAGAGGGCACGCACGAGAAATATTATGTAAACAAGCTCTCTATAACAAAATATATATATATTTATATATATATATATACATTTATATATATATATATATATGTGTGTGTGTGTGTAGTGTGTGTATGTGTGTAATACAGTAATAACTCAATCCTTCGTGGGTTTTCACCTTGAATTCGTTCTGTCAATTTTCGCCAACTCCCAGAATTGTGTAGGTTTACAATCTACGTATTTTACAATTTTATATAGTTACTATAGGAATCATTTTTTCTGGTAATGTAAGCATTTTCTAGACTAAATAATGGAAAGTAATATAAATATAACTTTAATTCAAAGTTATTAAAATAATTTAGGAATTTATTAAGTTTTAAAATAGATATAAATCCTACCTGGCAATTTTTTTCACATTTTGTGAGGAAAAAAAGACGGTGGGGGGGGGGCTGCTAGGATCGTAAACCGTTCGATATTCAAGGTATTACTTTATATCTCTAGCCTCCTTTTTGGTGCGGCCTGGTCCTAAACAGCACCTTGAAGACGAGTTAGTTCGAGGCTTGTCGTGACGTCACCTATGTAGAATTTGACCTTGTTCGTCATCCAATGATTCTAACCTGCTTATTTCAGGTGTGTCTGGACTCGCCTCATCCCTGAGTCTCATTCTTGCCTTCAGTGGCCTTGCCTACCTGTTGAGCAACAAACGCTAGAGGCCCAGAAAACGCATATCACCTCACCCGGATTTCTTCAAGCAAAGTTTATCATAGAATTTCCGACCTAGACTATTTCCTTATAGAGTAGAAGTATTACAGAGCTATTATATATAATGTTTATAGTGATTAAGCATGTTTGTGATATTTTATTCCAAGTCAAATAAAATAGCATCTAAAAGCGTTTTTGCAGGAAAAGTGTTGAAATCTAAAAATTATAATTCGCTAAAATAAGAAAGATTCATTTTCTTTCCGTTTTCGTAAATTTTACTAGAATGGGAAACCATTTTTTTAAAAAATTATATATAATTTATGTCTATTTCATCAAAATAAAATTCGAAAAGTAGTGTTGTAGAAGCAAATTGATTAATATTTATATTTTCTAGCCACTTGATAGACGTTAATGTTTTACTTTTATGCCTTTACCTTTGTAATAACAAATTAAAACTTCCTCCCTTTTCTTGATATAAATAACACGTTTATTAAGTTTATTTTTTTAACATTATTTGATTTTGTTTTTCAAAATTTATACACATGCATCTTCATGGATTTGTGCTAGATTTGTCCTAAATGATGCCGCCCATTTGCCCATTTGTTTTTAATACAAAAATAGCGTTTACAATATTTCACTAAATAACTTTTTAATAAAAATAAAATATCCATTTTGAAAAAAACAAAAAAAAAGGTGTTTTGTTTTGGTTCAGTTAAAATATGGTAGTTACAAAATGTTATGTTCAAAGGGATCAAATTTGTTGGACAATCTAAGAGATTAAAGTACAGTAGTTAAAGATCGCCAAACCGTGGCGACAGCAATGCGTTAAGGTCACATCTGTTACAGTTACTTGACAAACTATAAACTCAAGTAACGCATTTTTGCTACATCCCGTTCCACGCATGATACGTCACTGCACAGTTTTTATTTCACGCCCATAAACTACATAAACATTCTGATGTCCCAACCACTTTTAAACTGATTATTTAATGCACCGTAATAAAATTGAGACGACTTCATTTTTTCCAAAAGAAAATATACCGCACCAAACGCAGAGTTAATTTTTTTTTTAAATAATCATTTAGCATAATCATCGGGAATTATATTTAGCGCGCTATCCGGAAAAGGAAGCAGTCACACCGCAAGCATAATATCTATAAGAGATTCGAGAAATGCTAATCACTTCTTTATATTTAAAAAAAACAACAACAACTCATGAGATGTTAATTATTAAAGTTCTACTTCTGAAAACTAACCACACAAATGACATGATGAAACAAAAAATTAACTAACACATCAGGATATCGTAGGAAAAACGTGTAATAGTGTGTGTGGGGGGGGGGATTACTAAATTTTTAAGAAGAGCTTTATGGATTTAAGAAATAATTTAAGGAGGCTTGTTATATTTTGTAAACTTTAGATTTAAAGTCACTCTGTCTGTTTTCTGTGTACTGTACAGTGTTTACTGTAAAAATATAGGTTCCCTTACCTGAGTTTGATTCCCTTACCTGAGTTTGATTAAATGAAATAAATAGTAATGTTTTTTTATAGTTTTAATTTCAAATATTCTATTTCAAACTACTTCTTTAATAGTTTTTTTTTTTTTTTTTTTTAAATCTTTCCAAAAATAAAGATATCCTTGTCATTTCGCTACGGTTAAATTCAACNATAGTTTGTTGGGGGGGGGGGGGGAGAATTAACTTTTAATCCACGGTACACAAAGCAATTGGCGGAAAGGGGCCTCCAAATGTTACGTGAATTTGGGAGGTTTCTGTAATATATTTAGATTCGAATGGTTCACAACGGGTTTCATTGTACTAAACACAAACCTTCCTTTATATTGACTTTCTTTCTTATGCACTCTATTATTTTATTGGCTATACAATTTGGTCCCATCTTGTTGTATTTATTGTTTTGTTTTTTTTTATTTATAAAGTTTGTTTCGTTGTTTTTTCTATGGTTTTTTTATAACTAATAAACCAAAGGTCATTTTACGTAGTGTTTACCTGTGAACAATTAGAACTGTGAAAAGACATTATTTTTTTTCCTTAACTGAACAAATGTTTTGATAACATACTTTATTTTGTCACACGGAAAAAATTTAATTCTACGCTAGGGTGACCAAATCATGAACTGGAAAAAACTGTTGTGGGTGTGGGATACCATCCAGCTAAAGACGGGTCAGGGGGCCTCCGCCGGAAACTGTTTATTAAAATGTGCTCATTTTAACTATTTTGAGACTTAGAAATCTTTTTAAATTTACCGTCACTTTTGTAATTTAATTTAAACTCGTGTGTAAGAGGCATATCATAAACGAAAAAAAAAAATTTTCACTGAATACTTATTTATACATATTTTACAACATAATACAACACAACAAATTAAATGTCTCTAGTCTAAGATTTTAATTGAGGATATTTGGCTGTTTTCCCAGCCATTGTTAAAACCCCCTTTTTATCTACATATGTGAAAATGGGTTTGGTTTTAGAAACGGAGCAGTTGAGCATCCCGAGAGAATCATTTGGACACGTGGTACGATCATGAAAAAAAAAGGACACGATACCGTTTGTACGGGACGTTTGGTCACCCTTGTCAACGCCCGGGGGGGGGGGGGGGGGGGGGGGGGGGAGGGGCTACCTCACGGGCTTCGCTACAGCGTAGTGTAAAGTTAAAAATGAGCATCTTAGAATCCTCAAAGCATAACAAATTTTATAGTTAGGGCGAGAAGATTCTTTTTTTGTGTGTGTGGTTTTTTTTTGTTTGTTTCTGTTTGTTACTATCGCAATTTCGTTTGGTTCGAAATATTTCCTTTTGTTTCCTGAAATAGTTGGTGAAATAAATCTGCGGTGTTAAGGCTGGTCGGGCGTCAGAATTGTGATGGTTTAGGGCTGTTCATTCTAAAATTCTTCCACCGTAAATATAATATAAAATAGCAAAAACTTCGTATGAAGGATTTCTACTGTAAACTTTTTTTTTTCAATAGTTGTTTAATTTTATATCAACAACCGATTTATAGAACTTTCCAGGTCTACACCACAAATGACGCTCGTTTTGGAAGGCCTCTGTGGTATGATCTATAATAGCAATCTAGAACAAAAAAATGTAATTCCATCATCCTCTTATCTGTAAAATATTTGAAACAAAGTGTCGATGTTACGTACCGCAATAATGTGGATAAATTATCTCTTGTTTTACTCTATGGTTCGTGTGAAACAGTACGTTACAAAATACGATACCATTAATAAAAAATAAATTAATAAAGAACGATACCCAAACTAGGGTTAAATACAAATTATAATTTATTTAGTCAATTTAGAATTTAAAGAATAAAAAAGAATAAAACTAAGGCTATTGATTTACAGTACAGGAATGAACTTCTATCGGTAAAATGTTAAAGAAGGAGCATACATACACAAAGTAAATATTAATATACAAAATCTACGACCAGTGCAAAGCTCTGTCTGTCTCGTATCGTAATGGCTCAATCTCTCTGATGCTCAATCCTACCGATAGGCGAATTTAAGTCTTTCTTAGAAACTTTTCCCGAAATGTGTTCAGCGATGCATCTCTATCTCGGTCAATCTCGTATGTTACAAAGAATTTTATTTCTGCAGACTATTATCAACTGTATTTATTTGAAATCAAGGGAGACAATTTGTCATTAAGACATTCACCCCCCCCCCCTGCGGGTCGTGTTGTCAAACTTGGGGTCACCTGGAGTTCATGCAGGGGTTTCACAATGTAAACAAGGACACCTAGCGTTACAATTGGTATCTGGCAGCTGTAGGATTTCCCACCTGCTTCTCCTTTCCATGAAATGCCGCATCCCTCAGAGTGAAGGTAGATCATGGTAAGGAGATTCTAATAAGAGATCCTACCGTGAAACATATCTCATGACTGAAGTTAAATGTCATTGTAAGGAGAAGCAGATATGAAATCCTACGGTGGAAAATGTCTCATGACTGAAGGTAGATCATGGTAAGACAGTATTTCACAATTAATTCGTGTATATTTTAGGAGTCAAACAAGACCGCAATAGCAGAAAATGAAGCATTTTTTTCATAATATGTCAAAGTGATTCTGAATTTTGAGCAGGTTCTATTCCATTTTTAAATCTTTTGCCACTATAGATTATGAAGAGCACGCAACTTCTCTTGATCTTAAAGATTTGCACCTAAATAATAACCTATAGAGATGTTTTTCTCCATGTTCAGATATAGGTCTCCTACCTCATGGAAATATTTTTTTTAAATATATGAGCACCAGTTCTCAAAAGGTCAGGTGAATAAATATGAAAAGTAACTTTTAAGGTAATCATGATTACCATCTAAATATTTTGCTCATAATTAGTAAATAAAAACGGAAATAAGTCGATTGGTCCTTCGACCTCAAACATTTAATGCAAGTGTGCATTTTAGATTGTAAATAGATAAGTTGTGGGTAATTAAAATACATGGTAAAAAGGGGAAGAGACAGCAATTAGGTTAGGTAAAAGGAAATGAGTGAAACAAAGTATGGGGAAACTGCATTCCTCTTGCTGTATTCTCCAACACTTCATGGCAGCTCATTGTTTTTGTTTTTTATTTATTTTTTTTCTGTTGCTTGTTTTCTGAAGAAGGCTTCTTGCCGACACTTTGGTTGTTGTTGTTTTTTTTTGCGTCATTTTTTTAAGTTTTTCCCATGTTTTGTTTCGCTCATTTAATTGAAACCCATACATTTCAACATTAAATCAGAAAATTTGTTTACGACACCCAAATATATCGCTGGCTTTGATAAGTGCTGGACACTGAGCCTAAAATCAAAAAATCACGAGACATCGGAAGAGCACATATGTTGGCTTGAAAAATCGGAAATCTTTGGCAGTAGGACTCAGGATACACAAAACAATTGATCCGGAAAGTATTGCTGTGATGGACAGGGAGAAGAAAACTTGGAGGGAAATCCTGCACAGGTTGCTGGATATCACATCGTATCTTGCAAAGCAAAATCTGGCATTTCGTTGGATCAACAAAGATGAATCTTCACTAAAACTTACTTGAATTGGTTGAGATACTCTCGAAATATGACAAAGTGCTAAAAGAGCACCAAAAGAGACTATAGAGGGGAACTACAAAAAAAAAAAAGCATCCACATCTTACCTTACACAGAGACCCAACATGAATTTATAACTGTCCTTGTAAATCATCTGAAGGAGATTCTTATCATAGATATAAAAGCTGCGAGGTATTTTGGAATTATGTTCGAAATTACACCTGATATGTCAGACAGTGGGCAAATTTCAGAAGTGACCAGTTATGTGAAAATCCACAATGGGAAAGTTGAACTGAGAGAAGTGTTTCTTGCATTTGTCCCGTTACGACGGAGCGATCAAGGATGGAGTAGATATGTTTGGGGTTGTTCAACCCAAAATTCTAGTATCAGCAAGTGGAGAAGAGTTATCGGTGTCCGTTCCAAAATTAACTTCTTTGTATGATAAGTTGTCAAAAGATGAACTTTTAAAAGAAATACCAAGGCTTAGAAGACATCTAAAGGCAGCTGATATTGAATTTCACAAAGTCATAGACTGGTCATTGTTTGATATTTTGAAATTCATAGCTGAATGGGACTTCCTAGAATCTCTTCCAATACTCTCGTTAAGCCTTCCTTCAAATTTTTCTTACGATATGTGATTATGT